CATGTTTGCGTGTCTTTAAAGTCCTGCCTTTGAAGTCAACCAGACCCAGCATTGCGTCTCGGCTTGCTAGCACTCTTTAGACCAAATCTGAACACCAGCCTCTCCAAGGCTGTTTCCTCAGGGGTCACACAGAGGTCAGAACAGTATTTACTTCTTTGGGGTGGCTCTAAGACTCAAAAGGCACAACATGCTGGGGGTCCACAGTGCTAGAGCACTTGCCTAGCACACTGGAAGCCCTAGAGTTGTGGCAGCAGCAACACATGCACACAGAGACACAGCACAGAGACACAGCACAGACACACAAACACACACACACAGAGACACAGACACACACACACACAGACACACACAGACACACACACACACAGACACACACAGACACATACACACACAGACACACACACGCACACACGAATGTGTATAAATGCCTATGGCACAGCACCTACAGAGTAGGTGGATGATAACTCATCCTCCCTTATTGCCTCTTGTGAGTTAAACACGGGCGTCTGTTGGACAACACCAATCAAGGCTTTTCCTTGCACTGTAGGAGGACACAGCTGAATGAGTCCTGAATGTAGCTCACTCGGGAGCCTGTGAGGACAGCTGTTATAGAAATCGGCCACCACACCCAGTTTTCACATGGGTGCTGTGTGCCTGAGAGCCCAGGTCCCCATGCTTGCTCAGCAAGTGCTTTACCCACTGAACCATCTCTCCAGCCCCAAACCTAGAATTTTACAATTATGTAACTTCCAGTCTGAAGTGCCGACTGTTACAAGTTTATAATTGTTTCACAATGAGAACAGAGTTTTATAGAATTACAATGAGATACCATGTGAATTATAAACAGGATAAAGCATATTTACCTATTCTTAAATATTACATTATCTGGATACCTTTGAAGACTGGGATGTTGACAGATTCAGAAGAAAAAAAACCCCACAAGGGACATTAAAGCACTGTTAAAGTTTACAGCCACCTGGCAGCAGGAGCCTTTAATCATCAAAGAGTCATTGTGCTTAGCCCTCAAGTCTGCTGTCTACACTCCAGTTCCCAGCACTGTTCTCAGACAAAAGTTCTAGTCTGAGGAAAGCGTCAAGATTTCCTCCACCCACATTGCCATATCTAAACAACCTCAGAAAGAACTCTGTTCTGTGTTGGGATGCTCTGTGGGTATCTGCAGAACAGAGGCTCTGTGGGCCCTGGGAAGGTAGGCTACAGGGTCTACCTTATCATGCTACAACAGATCACAGAAGAACAAGCCCTAAGGAACCTGTGACCTTGCCTTTTCGATAGTTCATGGAGATCATTCATTGCTTAATATGGCTCTTTGCTCCTGCTTATCTATGCTTCTCTGTAGTCCTGGAGCCAGGACAGTGAGTATCTAGCAGGCAAGAAGCTCAAGTCCATTGCCAAGTCTGAAGTTGGTGGTGATGGATGGATGGACAACCCATAGAGTAAACTGGAGTTGATCAAGGAGGGAGAGCATCCAAAGAGGGAATCAGGCGGCTTAGGCATTAAGAGTTGGCTCAGTCTAAAACAGGAATCCAGGTTTATAGAATGGGTGGTCCCAGGGATCTGTATTCAGCTGCCATTCACCTGGACAGCCTTGCACCGCTGCTGTATCGGTTGTTTTGAACAAATAACATGGCTACCAGATTACAGAGTCCTCAAAGTGAGGCAAAAGAGCCAAGTGAGGGCTGCCAAAGAGGAAGCACAATCTCAGGGAGACTCACACACTGGGATGGAAATGTGCCCCAGGAAGACCTCTTGGCAGCAGTGACTCTTTGCCCTTATCTACCAGGACAGGCATGGGGAGGAGCCTCATGACTATGTCTGTGTGAGGCAATGGTTGTTTATTTCAACAGTGCTTCCTGAGAAGTGCCTGCCTGGTAACCTCAGGCCAGACACACAGCTATTAAGGCAGACGAGAGCCCAGCCTCTCCTGCCTTTGTGTACCAGACTGAAATGAAAGAAACTTTCAAGGTTTTCCTAGCTTACTCCTTGGATCCTTATAACTCTTTAATTTCTTAAAAAGTGATCTGAAAACTCATTCCTCTTAGCCTCCTCCAGGGTATGGAGATTGGTATGGGGCTAGACACATCCAGTGAGGGAGGGAAGTATCCATCAGCTTGGTTCCTAAATGTGAGTGCAGGCATCTGCACCAGAGCAGGTTCCATCCCGTAGGCAGATGGGGTGTTGGCCATGTGCCTGGGGAAGAACAATCAAGGGATGAAAAAGTAAAAAGGGCCAGCATCTTGGCTCTATGGGTCCCTGTGTCAGGTGGGTTTGAAGAGGTCACAGCTTGGGACTGCTGTGCCCGGTAGTCCATCCTCCACTCTAAGCAGGCTCAGGACGCCTGGGGCTCTGGGGAAGTTTAAGATTTTATCCATGTACATGGCACAGGCGACGAGTTCTTTCTCCTCCACCGTGAATGAAGACCCTGATGCACCACAGACAGTCCACCAGCTTAGGACTTAGCAGCAGACTCAGTATATACAAGAGCTGTGGTCCAGGATCAAGGATGTGTCCCTGGCCTTACTTTATGTGTGGACCACTGCAATCCCCATCATCCACCAGCTTTGCAAACTGTGGTATGAACAGAGAAAGAGTGGGAGGAAGCTGGGACTACAACTCCAGTGGAAACACTGCTTCCAGCCTCTGAAATCCATGACATTTCAGTCCTCCAATAGAGTTGATGGTGAGTTTTCATGAAACTAATTCATGTTAATGGAAGGTGCAGATTTCCTGGGACTAAACACAAACCCACCCAAACAGTGGTTTTGCACATCAATGGTTCTGGTGCTAAGTCTCAGAGACCTTTCTATAAGGAGGCTTTGCTTAAAACTTAAAATGTTATTAGCTTTACTTTTCCAGTGACTGTTCAAAAGGCCAACCATCTAGGTTTGAAGGCAAAAAGCTTCACCATCAACCAAGGTTATGACTGCTCAACAGGTTGTGAAATCTGAAGTTGGGGAGAGGTGCTAATCCCTATTCTAAGACAGTCCTGTAAAGTTCCAGGCTAGCCTGTGGTATGACTGAGACCTTGTCTCAAATGAACAAGTAAACAAAAGAGAACAGAAACCCCGAAGCCAGTCTTCTCCCCTACCACCTGTGCTCTGATATCACGTGTCTAGGCACTGGTGGGTGCCCGCTGGCTTGGTGGGTGTCCGCTGGCTTGGTGGGTGCCCGCTGGCTTACCTGCTACAGTTGTACGCCACTGTCTGGAGGCTGCCTCACTCCATTACTGTACACGCCACTCTTTACCAACTCATGCCTGGATTTCATGGACTTGGTGACAAAGGGTTAATTTGATAGAATTCTAATATATGTTTCTTATTTTTCTGGTGTTGAGATTGAACTTGGGGCCTTGAGCACGCCAGGCAAGCTGTACATTTGAGCTTTCAGTCCATGACTGGATTCTCACAGTCAGCTCCTGGCTCCTATCTAACTTAATAGCTAGGGAGGCCATTATCAGGCCTCCATCCCAAGGCCCCCAGCATACTTTGCTCACTCTTCATAGCTGACTATATTTGGAGCCAAGCACAAGCTACATGAACACTGCCAAGGGCTCCTGAGTGCACACTGAAGTTACAGAACACTGCAGAGCTACCCTAAATGACCCTCCAGTTGGAAGACTCTTCAGAAGATGAATTTCCTAACAATATAGAACAGGAAACACAAAAACTAACATCCAGTTGGCTTAGGAACTGGAGGTGTTAAAAATCCGGGCTTGAACAGCAGGATTTGTGGGGATACCCCTGGAGATCAAAGCAAAGGCAAGTCTGGATCTGAGCACACAGCTGGTCTAGAATTGTCAGAACAAGATGAAACTGTTGGCAGGAATCTGCTGACGTGCTATAGGGAGAAAATCCACGGCTTCAACTACTTATAACATGCAATGACAGGAGGGGAAGTGGACTCAACATGGAAATAAATCAAACCAACAACAACAGGCTCTTGCATTGATACTACAGGTGGCTAGGCGCGGGAGCATGTGCCTGTAGTACCAGCACTGGGAAGGCAGAGTGAGGGGGATCAGGAGTTCAAGGCTAGCCTTGTCCCCAGAGCAAGCTCAAGCCTAGCTAAGTGAGTCTCCGTGGAGCCAGGGGTGGTGCCACAACACTTTTAATCCCAGTACTCTGGTTGATGAGGTAGGTAGATGGGTCTCTGTGAGTTCAAGGTTAGTCTAGGCCAGCCTGGTCTACATAGCAGGCTCTAGGCCAGCAAGTGGCACATTTAAATTTGAATTCAGGTTTGTGGATTATAGACTGGATAATTAATGGGAAACAGACAGGCTTTCCAGCTTGCTAATTATCATTAGCTTTAAATTATCAATTTCTGCAATCCAGTCAGGAAATTTTACAGAAAGGTTCTTATTTAAATTCAGAGCACAGGGACTGGGAAGGTGGCTCAAACTTGAGCTGAATTGAATCCCTGGGACCCACACAGTGGGAGGCAAAAACTACTGATTCCTGCAAGTTGTCCTTACCTATACACACACACACCACAGCATGTACACACTCATACCCTGCATCAGTCCAGAGCATCCTTCCCAAGAGAAGCACTGACGCCTCTATCCTCCGAATTCCCCTGCACATAGTAGGGCCCAAAGCTGTTTTCTGCAGTCTTAAAAGAATAGAGTACAGTTCCACTCTCTTTATCAAACCGAGTGTCCTCCTGCACTGAGTGCATCTGGAGAGACATCAAAAACGGATAACAAAGACCTGCCTCCCTTCCTGCTCCCCTTTGTCTAGACACACTGTGTTTGGATCACCCCAAACTCTGAGTTCAGTGAGGGAAGGACCTGGGTGTTCACCTCCATATCCCTAGTTCCTGAACACCATCCTGTTACTCAGGGAGGCTTTGAAGTCCTTCTCCACAGCTTTGCTGGGTAAAGCGCTTTCCTATGTAAGGTAACTTACACAGTAAGAACAACCACATGCCTGTGTCTCCACTGGTTGTTTTCTTGAAGTTGGTTGATTCAAACCCATGCTTGTTACCTGGATCATCAGTCGAAGAAGGGAAAGGATGGGGTTCCAGACACCTCAGAGAGTTGCTGGTGCTTCCCTGGCTGGCTCTCTGGGATGCTTCATAGCCTCCGCTGTCACACACCATTGGTAGATCCAAAGTACAGCTCTCTCCTGACAGGCTGCTGGGTGTGGCTGTCAGGGATTCCATGGGCCTGTGAGGGGAGGTAAAACAGCTCTGTGTCACAGGGTCTGTGCAGTAGGAGCTACCCAGAGCACAGCCCGAGGAGGCCAGAAGAGCAGCTACTCTCTCTCTTCCCCTAAGTCACGGTTTTTCTTCCCTTCTCCTTTGATCCAGTGTTTGGGTACCAAGTTCCCTTCATTGTGAGACAGATATACTCCCACTTGAGAAAAATATCAATCCTCATTTCAGCTAGGAGTCAGGCATAATGACAAATATCTGTAATCCCAATATTCAACAGGCTGACTGGCTGAGGAGGATTCCAAATTTGAGGGCAGCCTGGGCTAAAGAGCAAGACTATCTCAAAACAAACAAACAATACAACAGCAACATATATTAGAAATATAGTTTCAAGCCGGGTGGTGGTGGCGCACGCCTTTAAACCCACTCAGCACTTGGGAAGCAGAAGCAGGCGGATTTCTGAGTTCGAGGCCAGCCTGGTCTACAGAGTGAGTTCCAGGACAACCATATACAGAGAAACTCTGTCTCAAAAAAACAAAAAAACAACAACAACAAAAACCAAGTTTGAGATAATAAGAGCTCTTGGTCCAGATTTTATAAAACAAAATACTATACACGCCTGAAATACCAAGACAAGCTGGGAGCAAGGGTATTCCAGATTATCTGGTTATCCAGATTATCTGGTTATTCATCTGGTAGGAAGAGTCAGGTGACATGCATTCCCTCTGTGGCCTAGGACAGGCTCTAGGGACACAGAAGTGAATATTCACCATAGGTCCTTCACAGAGCTCAAAGTTTGGGGAGATCCAAACAGAAACCCATTGTGTTGACTCTGAATTTTGACAAGGAAGACCAGAAAGGGAAGTGGGCTCTAGAAAGACATTACCCTCACCCCAGGAAAGCATGGACACAGAGAGCCAGTTTAATGGGGGAGGAGGGAACAACGAGAACACAGTGCATGTATGAAGAGGCAAAGATGAAACATGTTCCTTTGTATGCTAATGCAAAAAAATAAGGAAAAGAATAATAACCAGTTTAAGCCAGGCCTGGTATTACAAGCATATAATAGAAACTACTTAGGAAACTGAAGCAGGACAGCCAGCCTGGACCCTACCTCAAAATAAAACAAAAATAAATAAAACCAAGGCTGAGGAAGAGGATGAAGAACCATGTTAGATCCACAATCATCACCACAGGGCACTGGGAATTTAAAATGAGCATCAAAGATCCTGATAGGTATAGTTGCTCTTGTCTGTAATCCCAGCACTCAGGAATCACTTATGCTAGGTGTGGTTGCTCATGTCTGTAATCCCAGTGCTCAGGAGACAGAGGACTGCTGCCAGTTTGAGCCAGCCTCAGCTACAATCTGAGACCCTATCTGAAAAATCAGACATACAGACAAACTACCAACAACAAAGGATAATTTAGACACTAATTAACAAGCCATTGGTCTTAGCTAGATGGCCTTGGTGCCTCCTGCCCTGCTGTCATCTCTGGAAAGGACAGGAAAGACCTGGCTTCTGTCAGCATCTTGCATACAGAAAGTCTCTAGGTGAATTCTGAAGTCCTCCAAGGTAGCTTGCTCAATGAAGCACTGGAAATGTTCGTGTTTAAAACTAGGAATTAAGACTGGAGAGATGGCTCAGCAGCCAAGATCACTGACCATATTTCCAGAGGACCTGGGTTCAATTCCCAGCACCCACATGGTGGCTTACAGCTAGAACCACTTGTACTCCAGTTTCAGGGGATCCAACACCTTCTTCTGGACTCTCAGGACACTGCATGAACATGGTACACAGACACACATGAAACATACATAAAAACAAACTCAAACACCCATGTACAAAAACTGAAAATAAATAAAATAAAAAACCAACCAACCAACAAACAAACAAGAAAACCCAAGTGTTTCTCTTCCTGGGTCTTGAATCTGTGGGGCACTGGATCAACAGGAGAAGTCCCTTGCAGTACACTCCCTCCTGCCCATGTCTCTCATGAGTTTCCAACAGCAATTAGCTTTATGATAGCCAGTTCCCGATGCTAGGCCTGCCACAAGCCACCTTGCACCATCCAGAGGAGTATATGCACAGGTGTGCTTATTAGCTTGGTAGCTAGAACGCAGACAGGCTCACAGGACTGGAGCCTGCTCAATACTGGCAGCAGGCAATCCCATGAGCAGCAGACACTCATTCCCTGCAGTAGTCTAGGTAATGGAGAATGCCTCTATGAACTAGGCCAAGGTCCTATGAATCAAGAGTGAGGGGGAGACTAAGAACACAGATAAGAACTTAAAAGGAGATCAGAACTTAATAAGTGAATGGAGAGAGAAAGGAGTTAAGGAGGAAGCCAACTAGAAGAGACAGTTTGGATGCCGTGGCTGTGTCATCAATGGACTTAGAGAAGATGAAGAATGGGTTTGGAAGAAAGCATTATTTCAAGTCAAGGAATACTACACAGCTGTTAAAACAATAGAACACACAAAAAAGAATAAACTAAAAGAACTTGAAAGATCTCAAAGACATATGTTTAATAAACGACGCAAATTCAGAATAATATGAGCAGTGCAATAAAGCTAGTTCACATTTGTCAACAGTATAGTAGATTTGACCCCTACACCAAGTGCTTCACCTGCAATAACCCTGTGCTTGGAGCAGATAATCCTATCGATGCACTTTCAAAAGCTACTGCCAAGGAATGAGCCTGGCTTGAAGGCCTTCACTCTCCCATGTCTGAGCAGCCTCAGTGCTACAGCCTCAATCAGGCAAAGACAGCAAGTGTAGAAAACAAATCAACACTGACGCCTGGCCAGGCCCTTGTTTGAGGACACCCAGTCACATGCTGGAGACACTTGCTCAGGCAGAAGAGCAGCCAAGGTATCAGCTGACCACTTCTAAAAGGAGTGGAAAGATAAGGTTTCCAAAAAAATAGAACATCCCGTCTCTCTGCAGGCGCTCTAACAGCTAAGCAAGTTTGGAGCATCAGCAGGGACCTCTGCATGGCACCTCTGGCTTCTGCTTCTGTGATGTAACTCTGTACAGGAGGCCTGTGGAAGGGAGTGCAGGGGTCAGAGATAAGCCGGTATATTCTGCTTGCCTTCAAAGGAGCCTTGGAAGAACATCAAACTGAGTATCACTAATGAAAAGAATCCCTGATTCTTGCTTTGCATTTTGAATCACTTAAATGCCCAAAATTCCAAGCTGGACACTGTGCAAAAAGGAAACAAAAAATTGTGCTGAAAAGCAGAATTCTTTGCATAATAAAATATGCAGCTTCACGTGTTATCCTAAACATACTGTCTGAGAGTCAGCGAATGTGCACAGGAGAAAATGATGAGACAGAGGGAACTGGAGGATCGAACCCAGGTCCTCAGGCAGACCGCCAAGGGCCTTCCTTACCACTAAACTACACTGCTAGGCCTCCATAATGAACTCACATAGTTTCTCTTCTGAAAGAAAAAGAAAGGACAAAGGGGAAAGGCAGCCCAACAACAATATTCACAGTCACATCGCAAGAAACACACAGTCCTGTATCACAGACACACATACAGAACATATAGCAGTGTACATGAAGGAGATGGTTCCAGAGACTAGAGGCATAGCTCGGTTATGCTCCGTGGGCCTGTGCTCGGTTATATTCAGTGGGCCTGTGTACCTTCTCCCCCCCCCCCAAACACACACACACATACACATCAAAAATAGAAGGTAATGACTATATGTCAGTACTAGATGGAAAAATCCCACCCCAACCCCGCAGAAATTCAAAGCTGTTTTATTCTTTTTTTGTTTGTTTGTTTTTTTGTTTTTTGAGAAAGGGTTTTTCTGTGTAGCCCTGGCTGTCCTGGAACTCACTCTGTAGACCAGGCTGGCCTCAAACTCAAGAAATCCACCTGCCTCTGCCTCCCAAGTGCTGGGATTATAGGCGTGCTCCACCACTGCCCGGGTAAGCTGTTTCATTCTTTTAAAATCATGTTATTCATTCTTGTTGGTTTGGTTTGGTTATTTTAGACAGAGTTTCATGTAGCTCAGGCTGACATTGAACTTGCTGTGTAGCTGAGGTAGACACAGAACTTCTGGCTCTCTTATTTTCCCCTCCCACTGAGTTGGGGTTATGGGTGTGTGTCTGGTTTATGCAGCACTGGGGAGCAAATCCAGGGCTCTGTTGATGATAAAGGGGCACTCTACTAATTCTACTGAGGAACATCCTCAGCGCTCAGCTATTTTAACCCTGCTAATCTGTGTGTCCCAGCACATTACTGACAGAGTAAGAAGTAAACCCACCACAGACACGTGCAGACTTTTGACACATACAGTTTCGTGATTACTCAACAAGCTAGGAACAGTCTCGTTCAACTCATAAAGAGTGGTTTTTAAAGCCATGGTGAGGATGCTCAGTGAGGCCAGCTAAATGCTCTCATCTTGAAATCAGGAGCAAAATGAAAGGATGTCTCCACTTGCCATTCCAAGTCAGTGTTGTGCTGGAAGTTTTAGACAGCACAGTTAAACAACAAAGGTATTCAGATTGGAAAGAGAGCTGTAAAATTATCCCCCTGCACAGGACACAGGGGCAGAGGATGTAGCTCTGTGGTAACATGCTTGCCTAGCATGTACCAGGCTCTGGGTTCAATCCTCAGGGCAAAAATCAAATAAAAATCAGATATGACCTTGTATAGAAAACCTCAAGGAAGACACAAAACAAATTTAAAAATAAACAATTTACACAAGACGAACACAAGATACAAGACCAACACATACACACACATATCACTTGTATTTTTAGACAAGTGATACAACTTCAAAAGAGAAGAACCCATTTCCATTTATAAAGGCATAGAAGCCGGGCGGTGGTGGCACACGCCTTTAATCCCAGCACTTGGGAGGCAGAGGCAGGCGGATTTCTGAGTTCAAGAGTTCGAGGTTAGCCTGGTCTACAGAGTGAGTTCCAGGACAGCCAGGGCTACACAGAGAAACGCTGTCTCGAAAAACCAAAAAAAAAAAAAAAAAGGCACAGAAATAAAACAGGACTATATTAAATATGCACTAAGAAATGGAAGAGATTCCTGCTTGTGCATCAGAATCAGTACCTTAAGATGCTGCTATTCACAGGGGAGGTGGTGCACACCTTCAGTGCTAGCAGACACAAGCCCATCTCTGTATGTTTGGAGCCCACTGAACTACATAGCAAGTTCCTGGCCAACCAGGGCTACATAGTAAGACCCTGTCCTAAAATAAAATATAATGTTACTAATGCCCAAACTAACCTACAAAACAAATAGTGCAAGCCAGATGTGATAGCATATTCTTAAGATCTCAGTGTTTGGGGACACACAAGCAGGAGGACCTTGAATTTGGGGCCCACCTGGACTGTGTAGCAAGACAGTGTCTCAAAAGCCAAACAAACAAAACCTCTATAGGAATGAAGACAAGCTGGGCTGTGGTAGGACACACCTTTAATCCCAGCACTTGGGAGGCAGAGGCAGGCGGATTTCTGAGTTTGAGGCCAGCCTGGTCTACAGAGTGAGTTCCAGGACAGCCAGAGATATACAGAGAAACCCTGTCTCGAAAAACCAAACCAAACCAAAAAAAAAAAAAAGGTAATTAACACAATACTGACACAAAGACATAGACGTGAAAGAGAAAAGCAAGTCCCAAAGTAAAATCCCACTGATGGGCAGTTGGTGGAGTACTTCGGAAAACAGTTAGGAAGGTCCTTATCAACATAAAAATAAGAATATACAATACGATTCCATACAGTTAGGCATTGTTAGTCATTAATGGAATGCAATTCTCTCGAGTCCCCAAAACAAGCTTTGCAAATCCCTGGGCCAAGAAGCTAGTCACATACTTTTTTGATCCCGTTTGCATAGGATACAAATTAGACAACCATAGGAACAGACAGCACTCTGGTCATAGCCCAGGACTGGAGTAGGGGCAGGTGGTGGAGCGATGCTCTCGGGTTCAGAGCTATGGGCCTCAGAACAGTTTTCTTTGGGGTGATGAGACAGTCCAAGGTTATCACAGGTACACAGTTCCGCTAATGTACAAACCAGACTGTAGTTTACACTTTAGATTTTATGAAAACATCAAGTCATTGATAACTGCTGTTTGAAATTATAATAGATCTCTAGTAGCCTACGCCTTTAATCCAAGCGGAGGCAGAAGGATCTATCTGTAAATTCGAAGCTAGCCTGATCTACATAGTGAAATCCAGGACAGCCAGGGCTATGTATTAAGATCCTGTCTCAAAACAAACAAACAAACAAAACCTTAAAACACTAAAATAGATAATTAACTGGATCTGATCTAATTCCAGAGTCAGAAGCGCGCAGTGGGCGGAGCTTGGAGCGGAGGGGCGGGGCGAGGCAGGTGCCGGGGAAACTCGTGGAATAAACTCTCCTCTTCTCCTTTCCTCCTCCCTTTTCTCCTTCCTGGCTCCCTTCCCACCGGCCTCCAGGACAGAGGAGAAAAATCCGCGGAGGTTCCTCAGAGCCCCTTGTCACTCACCGTATGACCAGAAAAGCACGGAACCGGAAGCGTCGGCTCCATCTTTGTTATGGGAAAAGCGAAGTTTAAAAGGAAGTCGTTGACCGGGTCTCTGCTGAGGGCAGAAAAGGGCAACGCAAGTCAGCTGCGGCCATCTTAACTGAGGGCATTTGATCCCCTGCGGCGCGCAGGTCATCTGTAAGTGCCCTTGTCGGACACCAAAGAAACTGGGAAACTTTTAACATGCAAAGTCTCTTTAAAAGAACATAAAACGAAAGCTGGCCTTGGAAGTACACTCTGAACCTGAGGCCTAAAGGCAGGACGATGAGGAGCTTCAGGATAGCAAAATTCTATCTAACAGCACTAAAAATATTTTAATATTGTTGTATGGATTCTATTCGGGCTAAAATTTCAGGACTACACAAAAGGACAAAAGGAGGACTAACTGTTGAAAGACAAAATTCGAGGGGCTGGGAATATGGCGTAGCATGTGAACCGGTGTCTGGATAGGTGAGGTCCCAAATTCCTCCCCTCTCAAGAAAGGACACAATCAGAACAAACTCAGCCTAGAGCTAGAAGAGAGTTCTAGAGCAGCATGGGTCTGCTTATGCGGAGACGTGACTGAAAGAAATGGAAACGAATGAAAAGCCCAAGATCTAGGGTCTTTGAAGGTTTAAACAGAGGAAGATTGTCTTGACTAGAACTATAGAGAAAGCAAGCTCGTTTCCAAGTTCATTTAAGTGGCACTTAGCACAAAAGATTCCATTCCAGCTTGGTGCTGTCCACTGGGCCTACTACTGTATAAAGCTAGTCTAAAACAATTCTGTTTAACTAGACTGAGGACAGTTTTCTCCCCGCTTTATCCTTGAAAGGGTCTTGTATATTCATAGGCCCCTCCAGATACCTACCTTTGGATGAGACCCCACACATTAGGAGTCCTGCAAGTTAGAGGAATGTTTTTAAAACAGTGCTTGAGAGGCTAGAGAGATGGTTTAGCAGTTGAGAACATGGGCTGTTCTTCCAGAGGATATGAGTTCAGCTCCCAGCATTTACATGACAGCTAACAGCCTTTTCTAAACCCACTTCCAGAGAATCCAGTGTCCTAGCCTCCAAAGGCACCAGGCATACACATAGTGCAAAACACCCATACACATAAAGTTTAAAATTTTAAAAATATTTAAACATAGTGCTTGAGACAGTTGTGGTGATAGATGTCTTTAAAAACCCATTGCTCAAGTGGCTGAAACAGGCTGTTCCCTGTGAATTCAAGATCATTCTATTCTAATTATCTATTCCAGGCCAGCCAAGTGTAGATAGTGAGACACTATCTCAAAAAAAAAAAAAAAAAGTACTTCAGGTTTGGCCATTCAAAGACTACATACTGTGAATATGTGTACACACATGTCTTAGGGCTTCCATTGCTGTGAAGAGACACCATGATCAAGGCAACTCTTATATGAGACATTTAATTGGGGCTGGCTTACAGTGTCAGAGGTTCAGTTATGGCAGTATGCAGGCAGTCATGGTGCTGGAGAAGAAGCTGAAAGTTCTACATCTTGATCCAAAGGCTGCCAGGAAAAACTAGCTTCCAGGCAGCTAGGAGGGGGGTCCAAAAGCCCACCCCAACAGTGACACACTTCCTCCATCAAGGCCTCACCTACTAGTACTACTTCCTGGCTGAGCATATTCAAACCACTATGACATATAAAAAACTCATCGCTCCCCAGCACTCCACCTACACACTGACTATATGTTTCTTTTAAACTCCCCACACTTGTTTTTTCTCACCCTGAGTTTTTCTTCCTCACAGCTTCATTCCTTAGGAATATTCTTTTCTACTTTCTGGATAATATTCAGATCTCAGCTTTAGAGAGTTCTCCCTCCAGGCACCTCTCCTGACTTGTCAAATAGGAGTTGACTGTTCCTCCCAGGAGACCTCACTTTCTACTTATCTTTTTAAGTCCTTTTGTTCTTCCTTCTTTCCCACAGAACAGTAGCAGTCCGAAAGACAAGGACCAGGTCTATGTTTTGCATACTTCCATCCAGATCCCAGTTCAGTGACCCAGGTTGATGTGCTCCTGTGATCAGGAATGGGTGAGTCCCTCCCCTGGTATCTCTCATTCCCCACCCACACCTGACTTAACAATTACACCCAAATATGGGTTTACTACCTGTTATCGGTGAAGCAAAACTTGGAGCCTTTGCCTTTTGTCATTATCTCATTTATTTGGTAAGCAATTTATGTGTCTACCGCTCACATGTGTTGGTGTCATTTTTTTCCATGATGAAGGTTGTTTTTCCTATGGAACTTCCTGGAGCAAAGTTCTGAGATCTCACTAACTTTGTATAGCCTGTAGCCTGCTCCTGACTTTCCTCTTTCATTACTTTCTGGGCACAAGAAATTAAAACTGACTGCAACAGCCATGGAAGCACAATCTTAAGTTGGGTACAGTGCATGCTGGGCAGTGGTGGTGCATGCCTTTAATCCCACCCAGCACTTGGGAGGCAGAGGCAGGCAGATTTCTGAGTTTGAAGCCAGCCTGGTCTACAGAGTGAGTTCCAGGACAGCCAGGGCTACACAGAGAAACCCTGTCTTTAAAAACCAAAAAAAAAAAAAAAAAAGAAAGAAAGAAAGAAAGAAAGAAAGAAAAACAAAAAAAGAAAAAGAAAGAGGAAGAAAGGAAGAAAGAAAGAAAAAAAGTTAGATACAGTGCATGTCCCACCACTCAAAAGGCTAAAGTGGGAGAACGACTTAAGTCTGGCCTGGAGCATCCCATCTCCAAACAGAAAAGGGAAAACAACAAGTCTCAATCATCAAAACGCAGCACGTTTATGAAGTGTGGAGGTGTGTGCCTATAATCCCACATCTAGAAGGCTGAAGCAGGAGGATTGTGAATTCCAGGTCAGCCTGGACCACATTGTGAGAGTTGAACGGTTGTCAGACACCCTGTGGGTGCTGGGAATCAAACTTGGATCCTTAGCAAGAACAGCTAGTGCTCTGAAAGACTGAACTACCTCTCCGGCCCTGATTCTCTGTTCTTTTACCACTGATTATATGAAGGCTACATAAGCTGACTTACATCACAATTTTATATTTGTATGTTTTTACAATTTTATTTTTAATTATTATGTGTTTATGGGTATGTGAGTATGAGTTTGTACACTTGAGTGTTTGCCTGAGACATACTTGAGTGTATGCCAGAAGACAGCATCAGGTGGTCTGGAACTGGAGTGGCAGGCGTTGTGAGCTGCCTGATGTGGGTGCTGGGGAGTAGACTTAGGTCCTCCAACAGAGCAATACATGGTCTTGACCACTGAATCATCTCTCCAGCTTCTGTGTTTGTATTTTATGAATAAATTTATGCTGTCAGGCAAGCCATCTACTTCAGCCAAATGTCTTTCAGCAAGAGGAAAAGAATCATTTAGTTGAGAGACCAAAATAGCTATTTTCCAAACAGGTTGAGCTTCTTTGAAGTTATTTTATCTCTGTGTTAGGTTGAACTTGGACCTACTAACTACTGTCATTTGGGAAATTAATCTTATGAAAGAGGAATGAAAACATCACAAAAGTTCAAAGGTTAAGTAGTAATGAATCTGAAAACGTCCTATTGCTGTTTCAGTGATACTTGAGAGATACAATTAGATAATAAGTTAGTACTTAAACTTTTATCAAAGAGACTATGAAGTTTCCAACTAGACGCAAAGATCTACAAGTAGTTCAAGTGTTATTTCCCAGTGACTTCTCAGTACCCAGTGTCTAAGTCACACATTCAGCAGCTCTTCAGTATTTACAAATAACAGAAGGTTGGATGATAAAAATGAAAAACGTTACTAACACAGTGCTACTCAAGCAGCAAGTACTCTGAAAACATTCCACAATGGAAGCTACAGTTTGTTCTCTGGCACCCAGGGTTGTGAGAAGCTACAGTTTGTTCTCCGACACCCAGGGTTGTGAGAACATAGTAAGTAGCAAGCCTGTTGCAGGTTCTGATGGACAATATCTGATTATCAACTTAACAGGATGTGGAATCATCAAGGAGACAAGCCTCGGGGTGTGTCTGGGAGGGCGTTTCTGTACTGACTAGTTGCGGTGGGAAGACCCACCTTAACGGCGTGGCGTTCCATGGGCTGGAGTCATAGGCTGAGCATAGATGAGAAATTGAGCTAGCATCCATCACTCTCTGCTTCCTGGCTTAGACGCACCATGCATCTGCTGCCATGCTTTCCCAACTGTGCTGAACTGAATTCTTGGAAACTGTCAGTCAAAATAAAGCTCTCCTCCTTAATTTGGGTCTTGTCAAATATTTTGTCACAGAAACAAAAAGCAATTAATACAATGATGCTAGAGACAGACATATCTAATCCATGGTGCAGGGCCACCTTCAGCTGTCAACATTGAAGAGAGAAGCAAAAAGTGCCTTGGACATGGAGTTGAGACATCCAGTCTGGCTCTCTTACTGACAATTGTATAACTGTAGTTACTGAACCTCTCTGAGCCTTGAGTTTACCATCTAAAGAAAAGTACAATTAACTTCTGGGACTACGTCTTCTACACACATAACCCTTACTGGTATTGAATCTAGACCCACATAGATTTAGCATTGTGGAAGCACCATTAGTTTTCTTTGGCATAAGCCTCTCTAAATTTGCTGACTTGGAATATTTTCATTGTGTCTTGTATATGTTTTAGAATTGCTACTCAGGCTGCCATTTGATCAAGATAGAGTTTAAAAACTCTAAGGACTGGGGACACAGTTCAGTGGCAAAGCACTTGGCTAAAATGTATGTATGAGGCCCTGGTAAGAACCACAGCACCAAAGCAAGTAAACAAACCAGAAGCTAACAGACACTACTGTGAGGCTCTTTCCTCTGGGCTGAAACATTTCCTCATGAAGGGAGAATGGAGGCTCAAAGTTCATGAACCCCCAAGAAACTTAGAAGACTCTCAATGGACGCCCCAATGGTGGGGTCAGGAGACCTTTTGTAATGCAGCTGCCTGCAGGTTGTGTAGCAGACTCCACTGACAGTACTCATGAGTCATCACCTTTGTTGGGA